AAGAAAAGCCACAGAAGTCAAGCAATTCAATGATAAACCAGAATCTAACAATTTTTTAGCTGTATTTTTTAGTAATTTAGTTTCCTTACTGTTAAGTTTCTTTAAAAATAAGCTTCTTTTACATACTTAAGAGGATTGGTAACAAGGTGGGGATCCTGAGACAAGAGACTGATTATAAACAACTTCATTGCTAGAATTAAACACAGCATACCATTTTAGATCTTGAGCTTATCTGATTCAAAGAAAAATTCTATTTGGCTCTGACAATGTGATAGATTACCATAGATTATCTCTCAGAATCATTCAAGCTATTACTAAAGCTATAAACTCAATAGTTTAATTTTAGAAGAAAATTTTATAATGTTAAATTACCTCTTAAGAAAATTTTCAGAGGAATTACTTTGTTATTAAAAAAACAAAACAAAATGATTTGTCCCATCATGGATAGCTATTTAATCAATGAACAGAAAGGTTTAAGCCAGTACTTCAACTCTAAGGCCTAAATTTGTTGTAACATGTAGCTAATTAGTTGAGTCATTCTTTTTATTCAGTAATTACAGAACTGGGCAAGTTTTTATGATTAAAGAAATCTGATATTATGTCTATGTAAAGTAAGTCARTAACACAAGTCATTAAATAAACTGTGCAACAAACACTTTAAATATTCAACTGGATCTAATTGCTTGTTTGTTACCAATTGAACTTTTTCAGTATACAAAAGATGAAAGGGGCCCTGAGTTTTTAAGTAATATTATGTCTATAAAGTGATTTTAAAACAGGAAGATGTTTCTGAAACCTAAAAGTACAAATAAAATGGGGAAAACCCCATATGTTATCTTTTAAAACTGAAAAAAAATAAAGTTGTAATTTTAAATACAGCAATTTTCTTAAATATTCAATCACAAACTGAACACCCTAATGAAGTAATTTTATTTCTAAAGATTCCTTCTCTTACTCAGATTTTAATGTGGTTGTCAAATTAAGTTTTTAAAATAAATGCATATGTTCACAAGGTTTAATGACAAAGCTATAAACATCACAGTAATAACGGAATTGGAATTTTTAAAGATATGAAAGATTTATTTGGGGCATAATTTTAATACACAGCATAAATTCTCCTAAATTATTTACTTTCAAATGTATCTGCCATGAGATAAATGTTTAAATTTTTCTTTATATGCAAACACTCAACTTTAATCAGTCACTTAAAAGTTAAAGGAAAGTTGTTATAGTCCAGTCCATGTTGCAAAACAATGATAAGTATTTCAAAAGTGGTCTACAAAAATGTTCATGGAATTATACCTGATTTTTGTAGGGTTTGTTTTTAAAAATGAATCTTGTGTTTAGTGTTCAACACAACAACTGATACAAAGAAATGTAAAACATTGTGGTTCAATAAATACTAAGCTTACTGCAATGTAAGTTAAAAATTTTAATGGCAAAATGATATACAATTCTGTATGCATGGCTTTTTAGTTATAATTAATGAAAATATAAAATCATAAAAACTTCACAATAGAAAATGTTAGATAATATAAAAATTAAGTGCTGATTTGCTGGTAGTCTGAAGATTGAATCCAATGTCAAATGATAACTAACTCTCAATTCTATAAAACTACTGAACTATTACTTAAATGGAGTAATTAATTTGAGTAGAATGTAAAATATAATTTTATGTGCTCTTAAATATAAGGTCATTAAAATGGAACTGAGAGGGAAAAGCTAAAGAGATTGAAACAATTTTGTTTGAAGAACTGAGATTTAGATGTTAACTGAGAAGTCTGAAGTATACTAGAGTAACAGTGTTAGAGATGATGACCAATTGTTCTTTTTTTTTTCCCTACTGGGTAAAGAAATGGATTTTAAAATGAAGCAAGAGGGAGACAGAATAGACATGCAGAAAACTTTTCTGACACATAAAACTGCAAGTCAGATAGCAGAGGGACAGAGTAAACCAGACATAAACCATGTGGCAATTTAGGGAGAGTAATGGGTAGGTACACTAGAGCACTCTCTGTGATATTCTCTTTTCTCATATGTTAATCTAGAAACGTGCAGAAAAGCCTTCTTTGGATAATAACTTTTGTGTAACTAGCTCCAACAGTGATTTGCCAGATTTATTTAATGAATATATCTAGAAAGAGATCATGTAAGGTAGTTTGGGGCAGTTTGCATAGTTCATAATCTCAAAGGTAAAATGCAACTTCATTGCTGGGRAAAAAAAACCCACTATCAATCAAGGCTATGAATATTTAGAAATATCCCAGTCTGAAAGAGACTCCTGGGGTGTATGTGGGAGTTATTACTCAATTTCTAGAATGGCTGGTCTAGATAATCAAGTGTGCAGATTATAAGAGTACAGTTTGCTAAGAAGATAAGGTAATATATAAAGCAATCTGTGAATAATTATGTAAAATAACCTGCATATAACTGGTAGTAAGTTCAACATGTATTTATAAAATGTGGTATAGAAATATAACGTCACATCAAGTTCTAAGAGTTAACAATCTCCAATGAAATATTCATGCCTGTAAGTATGAAAAAAAGAAAATAAAAAGTTTATTGACATATTCAATTTTTTTAAATGACTTTCAAGAGACATATTTACAGAGACTAAAAATTCAGTATAATAGCTGTGGCCTAACTTGGCTTTAGAAGACAAACTTGTAAATATTTTACATAAAAAGATTTGCCAATTTTGTGATAATTCCAACTGAAACACATACTTACTTGAGTAGTGTTTCTTCTTTTCTAGTTATTTTTATATTCAGAATCAATTGTACATTTTCTAGAACAAGTAAATACATATGAGGAAGCTACATTACTTCGTGAAAGATAATATTATCCTTGTATCTTTCCCATATCCTATTCAATTAGTTCTCTGGATTAACAAATTTTCTAAAGTCACTAAATGCAGAAATTTCAAAGATTAAAAATTTCAAAGGATTGATGAGATTGAAGTTCTATGTTAATTTAATTTTTCCAAATCTAGTATGGAATCATTTTAGGAAAACGTTCCCAAAACTACCTTCACTTTTTCCTTAAAATTTACTTTACCTTTAGTTCTGCAATATAAGAAAGCTAGGAGTTAGGTGAATTATTTTAAGGTGGCAAACTTAAGATTGAATTTTGTTTTGAACTAGTAATTATGTCTTAAGCAACAAAAGGCATAGGCAAGTCTATACATTTTATGGTTGCCTAACTGCTAAAATCATTAAGGTGTCTGCTTTGGCTTATATACAAACCATAATTGTGCTGGAATATAATGACTGAATTTCTTAAAAATGTCAGTACAATACACAACCTGTCATACAGTATGTAGGCAATGTGCTACACATAAGAGATGTAGAGAGGCAGACACAGGCTAAATCCCATCTTTGTCTGTAACTAGATGTGAATCTTGGATAAATTATCTAGTTTCTCTTAACTTTGTTTTCCTCATCTGTAAAGTGGGAAAGTTGGCTCATTTGGGTCACTGTGAGGATTAAGTGCCATATATATCTCCCAGTATTCTGTATGTGCCTTTTCATACTTTCTACAGGAACAGTTTTTTTTCTTTCCCAATTATACATTTAGAAAAAAGTTTTAGAAAATATTTAAATGTAAAAAAAAAGAAAGAAAAAGGTTTTAGGATTTATATTTAAATCATTTAGTGTAAACAAAATCCAAATCAAGTTCTTTTAATTACTTAATTCTGGTATACAATTTAGATTTCTTAAGGGAACTGATATTAGACTTACCTAGCATGACTACCTAGCATGACACTTTTAAGGTTACATTAATACCTAGTGAAATAAGTTTTCATATTTTCAAATTCAGTGGCCCTTTATTTAAAAAGACCGAAATTCTTTTCTAAATGCAAAATTTTGTGATAGTATTTAAATATCAGCTTTAAGAAACATTTATTGTCACATGAGTAAAATTAGCAATTATACAATTTAAATCATTTAAAGTGATTTTCTTGCTTATATATTACAAAAATTCTAAAAGTCTGATGTATAATTTAACCTAAATTTTTAATATGATCCATACTTTCTACCTCTCCTATTTTTTCAACAGTTGACTAAAATAACTGGGGAAAGAAAATTGTTTTAAACATGTTTGCATGAAATGGAAACTATGCAGTTATTTTAATTGGGTAAGTTATTTTTTAAAGCATTTTATTATTGAACATTAAAAAATGTTGAAAAACTTAAAGTGGAGTGGCCCAAATAGAAAGTCTACCAGAGCATACAGAACTCTTCGTCTGATAGGAAAAGGTCAGTTAAAACCTCAGATAGTCATTTATCCTTAATGCTTGGAGATGGAATATAATTTATTTTGATTCAATATTGTCTCCTAAATGTTTGAAAAGACTATTCTGAAATGCATTTGAAAGACATTTAAAGACAAGAGAACTAAATGAAAATTTCCTGGGAAAAACTACAAATAATTTGTCACAAAGATAAAAGATAATAGCTTTATGAAAAAGTTATATACCAGAAGACTAAAAAATATGTTAAAGGTCTGAATCACAAGAAAGGTCCAATACAACACAAAAGGTGGAAATCCTGGGCACTAAAAATAATCTTAATTCTAAGAATCAAGACCTGTAATCAGCAATCCAGTTGAATAAATGGTAAATGTTGTAATCTCTAACTCACAACATCACAGCAGATGGCAATAAGAAGGCTTATATATAAATAAGTCACAAGTATTTTGGACAGCCAGCTGGGAAGTTTAAGCTGTCTTTTACTAAATGCTTAAGACAGAGAGTATGAATGAGAAAATATTTTTCAGGAGGTAAGAACTTAAATCAGAAATTTGGGGATTTATGTTTTTCTCTTAACTTTTTATGTCCCAGAAAAATCTTAGAACTTAATCAGATAGTGTTATACTAAGTATTCCATGAATCTGAAAAAAATAAGTGAGATCACTGTTTTCAAATTGTCAGAATATAATTTGTTTAGGAAAAAAATCCCTTATTTGAAAGAAAGTGCTTAATTTAAAAAAAAACATGCAGAGGTTGTTATTTTAGAAAAAAAATATAAGTAATCAAAGAAGCAAGGAAGCTTTAAAAACAATATTATTTTAAGGGTTTACTATCACTAAAAGGTGTATTCTAATGCAATATAAATAATAAATTCTGCTCACATAACAGAGATTATGTGAAAAACTAGCATCAGGAGAAATTATGAAATGAGGACTACGGATGAAATACACAGTTTTGCAAAGAGAGAGAGGGTAAATCTCAGCCTGTTCAAGAAAGGTAAGTTTGGCAGTATTCCTTCCTGCCATAGAGATTTGGCATGCCAGTTGAATGATTTTTCTACACAGTGTTTTAGGTCATGGGTAAAGGAAATCATTTTCACATAAAGTCACTAGGCTTTGCTTGGGAACACAATAAAGTACTACAGGTTCAAAACTATGAATTATTTTTGAAGTTATAATAAAAGAAAAATGTAATTTTCTTTGAGTCAAAGATGGCCTATTCAGAGAATGAAGGTTATAAAACTATAATGTCTTAACCACCTACTTACTAAAATTCCATGTAAGTTTAATTCTAAATGTTTTCTGATAAAAATGTATTTCTTAAATAAATGAATATGGAACATGTATATACAAAAATAAAATTAAAAGTTAAAAAGCTAATATTTGATTTCTTGTATTTTGTTCTCTGCTCTTTTATGAACTTCCAAAACCAGAATCAAATATACTTGTTAAAATGCCCAGAAGGATATGTTTAAGATTTGGAAGGTTAAAAGAATATGGCATTTCAAAATGGGTTTTGGTAGTTTCTTCTACAGAGCCCTTTCAGACAATGTTTCTGCATTCTCCAAAAAGAGAGAGAAAGCAAGAAATCAGGTAGCTGCTTTCTTCTGTGCAAAATTCACTGTCACAGAACTGACCTACAAAAAGCATGGGAGATAGGGGAGAAAACTTTTCAGATTATGGAAGAATGAGGGGAGAAAAATGTTCATATTATGGAAGAATGTGTGCCCCATTAGGAAGAGCGCTTACAAGAAAGCTTATTTGTGGTCTACAGACTATTGCACATTCAAACAAAATACAAGAGAAAAGAATGTCCAACAGATAATATGTTTAAGAACATATCAACATATAAACTAGCTTGTGCCCAGAAATAAAACATGGATACCAGACACCACTGCAGGCAAACCTGTCTTAATTTGTTTCTGTTTTAATGACCTTTAGAAAATGGTCCAAACTGATTATCAGCAATACAATGTTTTTGCTTTTTTTTTCTTAAAAAAATATTTTGAGACCACTTTTGATACACACACATATAATTCTGTGGTCATAACAGACAAATACAACTTTAGCGAGACTAAACAAAAGTGCAAAACTTAAAAAAACAAAATTAAAAAATATGGAAGCATAAGCTAATTTTTCTGCATAGCTGAAATCTATTTAAAGCAAGTCCTTGTTGCAGGAGTGGGAAGGGGTGCTGACAGGAGGATAAAGCAGTTTTTTTTTAAGTGTCTTCTGCATGTTTAAATGATGCAAAAAATAATTTCACTCCGTAACCTTGAAAACATTTCACAGACAATTCATTCCTATATCTTTAGACACCATGGTTGTGGCAGTGCCTCCTTCTGCAAGGTAAACGGCGGTGCTGGATTTGGAATGAACTGCCCTATCACTGCCATTGTTGTTGACCTCACAGTCCAGTGGTTCAGTGGAGATGACCCAGGTGGAAGGGCGCCATCGCTTAAGAGAATAGGGAGTTTTCACACGCTTCTTGATCTTTTCACCTGATCCTGATTTGCCATCTTGCGTTGACTCACCTACTGAAAATAAAAGTATGGAAAAATGAAATGTGTATAAAGAAAACATTAAGAAGTAAAAGGTTAGGGTTGAATTTCAAGAGTAGGTCAAGCCAATATCTATAGAAGGTGATAATGCAAATTTCTTGAAATTCACAATGCCAGGCAATGTTTTTCTAGGCAAAATTTAACCAATTCATTTTGAAACTCTTTATGTCAAACATTTTTGTAACTGACTGAATTACAGAGAAATAAATAAAATATAGAAAATACACAAGTATAAATGGAGAAAATTTCAGAAGTCCTTAGGTGTTTTCTCAAATTCTTTGGTTTTGGTAGAGATCCCAATTTGGTAAATTATTCTGCTTAAAGCTCAAAGTAGATCAGATTTTAAAGGCATCTAAGCATATATTTTTTCAGAGGAAGGACAGAAATATTAGGGTACAAATTGTCCAGTAATTCTCTCTTCACAYACCTGGAAAGCTATTTTATTGACACAGAGCCCTGCAATAAGGGTGTGTCGACTGGTCTATAATACAAGCCACTCAAGCAAGGGGCTACATTGTTTTTTTGGGGGACTTGTATCTTGCTTGCAGTCCATTTTATAGTCTGTAACAACCATAAAACATGACATTTTTTTCTTCCTTATGTATTGAYAGTTTAAAGACAAACCATTTTGTATAATGATGACTGTTAGAAATTTTAGTGAGCTTTCCTATCTTGTTTTGTAATACCTTTAGGGCCAAAACCCAAGCATCAACTTATTATTTAAGTTGTCTTGTTGCCCATAATACAATACCATAAGTACAGGCGGAATTCAACATGTAACTCTTGAAAAAGATGACACTAAGCAACTGAGAACAACTTTAACAGTTTCTTCATAATCGCTTTTCTGAAATTTCTATGTACTTTTAAGACTTACTAAGGTTAAAATAAAAATGTAGGTATAATAGACGCTAATATGTGTAAAAAATATATCAAAAATTATAATGGCATAATGTTATTTAGAGCTGTTAAACTGGTATTTATTTAATCCTGTCTGCTCATAATAAGTGCATGAAAGTAGCATTCACATAAAGCATATATTAAATTGGGAATTCTTCTATTGTGACATTCACCTTTTAATTATTTATGACAAAATTGTTTCTTCTTACAATAGTCCAATTACTTTTGAAGCCTAACCAAATGGTTTATTTCTATTTCCCAAAGTGATAAAGGTAAACAGTCACTGGTTGGAACACAATCTGATTTTATGTAGCTATTTAAATGGCTTCAAAGAATACCTAAGAGATGTTCCATGATCCCTCCACTTACTCTGTATACTGCCGCCATCTAGGACATTTGTGGCTGAAAGATCCAGAGAATTGGGCCTCTGTGCTCTTCTGGGCTTTGATGGCCCTGGATCTGTTACTGTGCTTGAAACAACCTGTGTAAGAACATCTTGTTCTGAACATGGATTACTGTTGTTGTTATTGGAATTAGTTCGGCCACCTTCTAGTGGCCGTTCCCTCCTGTCCACAAGACGATCTAGAACACTTTCATCATGGCCAGCTTGTTGGTCTCGTCTTAGCAAAGGTTCATGCTCATCAGGACTGGAATTAATATTCAGCCGGGTATCCTCACTAATAAATTGATTCTGCAGCATTTCTTGGGCCCTATGTGTCACCATGTTGGCTGTCTGGCCTGATGGAACTGCCCCATTGGCATACTGGGTTGTGGCAGCATGGGAGTTAACACTGTGGTTTCTACCTGCTACTCCATTCATGGTGACTGTCACCACATGAGGTTCTGCTGCATTGATTGTATTCATCTTGGCAACTCCAGTTTCTACTTGTTTCAAGTTAGATTTGTGCTTGCTGCCAAATTTTAGCCGGGGCTCCTTTGTTGAATTTTTGGTGTTCAAAGGCAAACTAGTAGGTCTCTTAGGAAGGTTTTGTTGTTTAGGGAGAGGGTAGATCTGAGTGGGTGGAACATCAGGAATTAAACATGCTTGGCCATTTGCAGCCTGGGTGTAGTCCTGCTGACCAGTCACTTCTACTGCAAGCTTTATGAGTGGGTAAAGCAAGCTAGAACTGGTACTACTCAGTGGGTCTGGCCCACTGAACTGTTTAAGAGAATGCTCCATCAGATTCTCATCAGAGCTTTCCTTGAGGTTCTTATCAACTTCTTTTGGGTCTAGCTTGTTAGTCTCCAAGTCTTCTTCTGTCAGCTGTAAGCAGACAGGGGTTGGCCCAATTGACTGTGCAACATTTATGGCATGGAGATTTGTTTCATCTGGGTATGGCATCTCAGATATAGTGGTCATACCAGTACTTGGAGTGAGACCAGTGGTGTTTGTGGTTGTTGTGTTGGTGGACAGACTGGTGACACTCGTTTCAGGGCTGGGGATTCGAGCTTGTGCTTGCTGTCGTTCATAATTTATTGAATTACGGTTCTTTTCCCCTACAGTCAAAGGTGTGCTGGACATTGAGTGCTCAGAGGAAATATTCTTCACAATGCTGTCAGTGTGATGGATAGAATCTTCAATGTATGAGGAAGAAGAATAATCTGGATAAGGGCCAATTTTTGGCACACGCCTATTATGTGACAGGTTGCTTAAAGAAAGAAAAAAAGTGTGACATTGAGAATGTACATTTACGACAAATAGCCTCTTCAAGTAAAACCACTGATTTTAAAGGCTGAGCTGCTTTTCATTTTACTGCTAACTTATATTACTTAAAAGGTCTAATAAAATAATCAAGTATTAATAACCTGCTAAATGCTAATTTTATGTGAATTAAGACTACTGAAAAATCTATATGAATCTAGACTTTTATAGATGCTCATTAATTTTGGTTTAAGAGTCAACTTAAAAATATCCCCTATAATTTTAAAACATTACCAAATATACCTTTACAAACTATATACTTATACAACTAAACATTATGTTTTGTTAAGAGAAGGAACCATGGCATAAGTTTATTTTATATTTTCATAACCCAATATCCACTGCTTACTCAACAAATGTTATAAATTAAGTTATATTAGCCAAATGATAAAAATAATAAGTTTTTAGGTGGCGTCAAAGAGTTCCAATTAAGAGGCACAGTCTAGCAACAGAACATTTTTTTCTGGGGTAGTCTAAGCAAAATCTGTGAAAGTCCTGCAGCCTAGGCTATGAGGCAGATAAAGGATCAAATGGCATTCAGACAAAAGCTCAAAGAAGGGCTGGGGTTGTAGCTCAGTGGTAGAACACTTGCCTAGCACATGTGAGACACTGGGTTTGATCCTCAGTATCACATATAAATAAAATAAAGATATTGTGTCCATCTACAACTAAAAATATTTAAACAAAAAGCTCAAAGATTCAAAACTGCTCTCTAGTTATCAAGGGTTTGTCACAATCATTATCATTCCTCAGAAGTGGTGGTTTTTGACCAGTGCATTGTAACACTATAATTGTATAAGATCTCACTAAAATAAAACCAGGGATAGCTTTAACTAAAACAATAAAGGTACAAACATTGGGAACATTAACAGATAAAACTATTACAGGAGAAAAGCAGATGCTTAAGGAAAAGAGRTATTATAATAGAAGTCTGATGAAGTTATGAGGGAAATGACAGRAAAGCAGAGAAGAAAAGGCTGTTATAGAGTCACAGGAAAAGGAAGCTAGGGCTGGGGTTGTGGCTCAGTGGTATAGTGCTTGCCTAGCATGTGTGAGGTACTGGGTTCAATTCTTAGCACCACATATAAAGAAGTAAATAAAATAAAGGTCCATCAACAACTAATAAAAAATATATATATTTTTTAAAAAGAAAGCTAAGTAGGTATAGAGGTTAAGATGCAATAAAATAAAACCTAGAATAAGAATGAATATGGAATGGACTATGATTTAGGGGAATCTATAACAGACACTGGAGATGAGAAGCAACACTCAGAGAGTAGAGCTGAATAACACAGGAGTCAGGGGAAAGGCCAAAGGGAAATATCAAGAGTTTCTTCTTACTATTCAAGAAAAGTTCAAAAGCATTTAATGTAAAAGCTTTAGCTGACTTTTCAAACAGGTATAAACAGCATATTAGAAAATTAGAATGAAAATTAGAATGAAAAGAGATGGGAACAAGCCTTCCTCAGATATTGGTAGAATGAGAGAATTTATAGTAAGAAGTACTAGTCTCTACCTTCTTTGACTTATTTAAAAAAYTTTTTTTTTTAGTTTTTTATGGAGCTTTATTTTATTTGCTTATTTATATGTGGTGCTAGGAATCGAATGCAGTGCCTCACACGTACAAGGCAAGCGCTCTACTGCTGAGCTACCAACTCAAGCCCCTTCATTGACTTATTGATATAAAATATCCAAAATGGATTTGATCTATGTATAAGTAGTACAAATAGTTCATAATACAAATTCCTCTTAGAAAATAGAAGAAGAGAAAATAGCAAAGAAAATGATTCAACAATGAAGTATATTTTTAATCTCAATTTTCTCTGGTAATTCTTTCCTGGATGCCTTTCTGAAATTTTTAAACATGTATTAGATAAAATTCATAGGAAGGTCTGTTCCTCCTAAATATGGAACACAGAAATAGAGATGAGTCAGTCTAAAAGTTTCAAGTTGTAGGAATTTTTTTTAAAGCCTTTTAATTTAGAACTAAAAATTCATAGTTCTAACAAAGGAAACATCCCATAAAACAATGTTCATGGCAAAACAGAAAGAATGCTAGAATTTGTTAAGAAAGAGCACTGGAGCTGGCATGGTGGCTCATGCCTGTAATACCAGCAGCACAGGAGGCTGAGGTAGGAGGATTGCAAGTTCAAAGGCAGTCTCAGCAACAGCAAGGCMTGAAGCAACTCAGTGAGACGCCGTCTCTAAATAAAATATAAAATAGGGCTGGGGATATGGCTCAGTGGTTGAGTGCCCCTAAGTTCAATCCCCAGTATCCCCCCTGCAAAAAAAGAAAAAAGAAAAATGAACGAGTGTTGGATAGGAAGTCTTCAAACCTTAGTGTTCAGTAAAACAGAGTTAGATATATAGGCAGGTTCACAATATCCTTTATTAAAAAAAAAAAAACTCAGAGGAAGAAGGAATAACAACATAATGGGTATATTAGACAATATGTAGAAAGATTTATAAACCTATGAACTATAAAATTATTTTACTTTCATTACTTCAGGGAAGTTGAAGCATTACTAATCTTGGGGCTGGGGTTTTGGCTCAGTAGTGGAGCACTTGCCTACTAGCATGTGTTAGGCACTGGGTTCAATCCTCAGCACCACATAAAAATAAATAAATAAAATAAAGGTATTGTGTCCATCTACAACTTAAAAAATATATATATTATTTATTTATTTTTGTGGTGCTAGGGATTGAACCCAGGGCCTTGTGAATGTGAGGCAAGCACTCTACCAACTGAGTTACATCCCCAGCCCTCTAAAAAAAATTTTTTTTAAAAAAAGGGTAATCTCGGGGCTCGAGATGTGGCTCAAGTGGTAGTGCGCTCGCCTGGCATGTGTGAGGCACTGGGTTCGATCCTCAGCACCACATAAAAATAAAATAAAGATATTGTGTCCATCTAAAACTAAAAAATAAATATTAGGGCTGGGATTGTGGCTCAGCAGTAGAGCGCTCACCTAGTGCGAGCGAGACCCGGGTTCGATTCTCAGCACCATAAAAATAAAGGCATTGTGTTGTGTCCATCTACAAAAAAAAAAAAAAGGATTCTCTCTCTCAAAATAAATAAATATTTTAAAAAGGGTGATCTCTTTATCTTCAGATGTAAAAAATACAGATTCCATCTTGTACTCATACCAAATAAATGTTTTTCAGTAGATAAATGGAGATAGTAAAAGAAAAATTGAAACTTTACAAAGTATGAGTTAGTCACTGCCTTATTAGGTTGGCTTAGCAGTATTTATTTCCTGTTTTTTTGTTTGGTCTAAGTTTCTAATACTGATATAGTTGTCAAACCCCTCAGGGCCTCACCGCTCATTCTGCATAGCAGTAGTCATGGGATTGACTGTTGGGCTCACAGATTTGTTTCTTTCCCATATCATCATAAGTTCAGCCATCCTTTCCTCAGCACACTGCGCAGTAAGACGAGCCTCTGCATCCTGGTCCCAACAGTCTTCGATTGTCTCCTTGAGTGACCTCACCGCCTGTAACATAAAGTACATGTCAAACATTATGTCTTAAATAAAATGTACCAAGCTTTTTAGTTTATACAATGAGATAAAAGAAAAATCAGGTTCTTTAAAACCAGTATTGTACAAAACTATATTTTAGACTTCAGAGATTTATTTAATTTTTTTTTATATTTAGGTTTGTTTTTATTTTTTTTTATTGGTTGTTCAAAACATTACAAAGCTCTTGACATATGTTTCATACATTAGATTCAAGTTGGTTATGATATTTAATTTTTTATTATTTATTTATTTATATTATTATTATTTTTATTTATTTATATGACTTCAGAGATTTATAAAGGTGTTTCACAAAAAGTGAAATTTTGGAAGAATTCTCAGAAGCTGAGGAGCAAGGAAGCAAGTAAGCTTTAACTTAACTCTTTGAAAAATTATCTATAAGGCTAAGAAGCTATAATCTGTTATAGATATTTCTTTAAGGCCACAAGTTTATGATACTGTTTTATTTCAATTGATAGCCACTAATTCTATTTAAAAGATAAGTTCTGAGTTTGATAGATTTTTGCCATTTGGCCATCTTCTGTCCATAGGTGGACCTTCTCACCTTTATTCCTAGTCAAATGTGCTTCATTCCAACTTTAAAACTTAAAAATAGTTCCATTCTGTAGTATTCCCATACATCTGCAATGAACAATAGTCTTCCTTTGGGGAAAGTTTTTTATTTTTCTTTTTTAAATACGGCATTATAATTATACATAATGGGACATTCATTGTGGGAAAGTTGGTTTTAATTCACTTCAAGAAAACAGACTTTGGGAAATTAAAGGGATATGGATAGGGATAGGGAAAGAAGAATTAGCACTATTTGCTAACAATATGATTCTATACCTAGAAGACCCAAAAAATTCCACCAGAAAACTTCTAGAACTAATAAATGAATTAATCAAAGTAGCAGGATATAAAATCAACACCGATAAATCAAAGGTATTTCTGTCTATCAGTGTCAAACCCTCTGAAGGAGAAATGAGGAAAACCCCATTTACAATAGCCTCAAAAAAAAAAAAAACTTGGGGGCTGGTATATATCTCAGTTGGTAGAGTGCTTGCCTCTCATGCACAAGGCCCTGGTTCAATCCCCAGCACCAATAAATAAATACATACATACATACATACATACATACTCGGAAATCAACGAAAGAGGTGAAAGACCTCTACAATGAAAACTACGGAACATTAAAGAAAGAAATTAAAGAAGACTTTAGAAGATGAAAAAAATCTCCCTTTTTCTTGGATAGGCAGCATTAATATTGTCAAAATGACCATACTACCAAAAGCACTATACTGATTTAATGCAATTCCAATCAAAATCCCAATGACATTTCTCATAGAAATAGAAAAAACAATCATGAAATTCATCTGGAAAAATAAGAGACCCAGAATAGCTAAAGCAATCCTTAGCAAGAAGAGTAAAGCAGGTGTCATCACTATACAGACCTTTAACTATACTACAGAGCAATAGTAACAAAAACAGCATGACATTGGCACCAAAATAGACTGGTAGACCAATGGTACAGAATAGAGGACCCAGAGACAAACCCACATAATTACAGTTATCTTATATTAGACAAAGGTGCCAAAAACATACATTGGAGAAATGATAGCCTCTTCAACAAATGGTGCTGGGAAAACTGGAAATCCATATGCGGCAAAATGAAATTAAGCCCCTCTCTCTTACCATACACAAAACTCAGCTCAAAGTGGATCAAGGCCCTAGGAATTAGACCAGAGACAATGAGTTTAATAGAAGAAAAAGTAGGCCCCAATCTCCATCATGTCAATTAGGCCCCAATTTTCTTAATAAGACTCCTATAGCACAAGAATTAAAGTCAAGAATCAATAACTGGGTTGTGGCTCAGAGGCAGAGTGCTTGCCTAGCATGCATGAGGCACTGGGTTTGATCCTCAGCACCTCATAAAAATATAATAAAGATATATGTCCACCTAAAACTAAAAAATAAATATTAAAAAAAAATAAATGGGATGGATTCAAACTAAAAAGCTTCTTCTCAGCAAAAGAAACAATCTCTGAGGTGAACAGAGAGCCTACATTTTGGGAGCAAATTTTACCACATGCACATCAGATAGAGCACTAATCTCTAGGATATATAAAGAACTCAGAGTCCAGAGTGCTCACCATTACACCATGGAATATAAAGAACTCAAAAATATTAAAACCAAAAAAACAAATAACCCTATCAATAAATGGGCCAAGGAACTAAACAGACACTTCTCAGAAGATGATATACATTCAATCAGCAAATATAGGAAAAAATGTTCAACATCTCTAGCAATTAGAGAAATGTAAATCAAAATTACTTTTAAGATTTCATCTCATTCCAGTCAGAATGGCAGCTATTAAGAATACAAACAACAATAAGTGTTGGCGAAGATGTGAGGAAAAAGGCACACTCATACATTGCTGGTGGGACTGCAAATTGGTGTAGCCAATATGGAAAGCAGTATGGAGATTTCTTGGAGAACTAGGAATGGAACCACCATTTGACCCAGCTATCCCTCTCCTTGGTCTATTCCCAAAGGACTTAAAAACAGCATACTACAGGGACACAGCCACATCAATGTTTATAGTAAGTAACACAATTCACTATAGCTAAACTGTGGAACCAAACTAGTTGCCCTTCAGTAGATGAATGTAAAATTAAATGTGGTATATACACATGGAATATTACTCAGCATTAAAAGAGAATAAAATCATGGCATTTGCTGGTTGGAGTTGGAGAAAATAATGCTAAGTGAAGTAAGCCAATCCCCAAAACCAAATACTCAAAGTTTTTCTCTGATGTAAGTATGCTGTTTCATAATGGGGTTGGGTCGGGGAGCATGGGAGGAACAGACAAACTCTAGACAGGGCAAAGGGAAGGGGAGGTGAAGGGAGGGCKCATGGGGGAAGGAAAGATGGTGGAATGAAATGGACATCATTACCCTAAGTATATGTATGAAGACACAAATGGTGTGACTCTATTTTGTATACAACCAAAAATATGAAAAACTGTGCTTTATATGTGTAATATGAATTGTAATGCATTCTGCTGTCATACATAACAAATTAGAATTAAAAAAAAGAAAACAGACTTTGGATACATTGGGAGACCACCAATGAAAATCCTTTGAGACCTGCTTTTGGATTTGTTTTTATTAAGCTATATATATATATATATATATATATATAGA